AGCATTAACAGAGAGAGAGAGAACACACAAACAAACAAACAAACAAAAAATGAGCCAATTAGTTGGCGTGAAAAATGAGACAGCACCTTTCGTAGTTACCCGTTGGAATTATGGGAACTCGTGCCCCACTTAAAGAAAACAACACGAGAGTCTGTCGAGTCGAAGTGGGCGTCTTCCGGTGTCACCTCTGATTGGCTACACTACACGGGACAAGCTGAGCTCGCGACATTTTAAAAGAATACCATCGGCGTTTATTCCTGTCTTGACATTTCCAACTCATGGGGCCTTTTTTTTTTATGGCCTCATATTTTGCGCCACACTAAAAGAAAACCCGAACCACTGAACTCAGCAATCCCCCAAAATATACTTTCAGGCCTTCTTCTGGGTTTTACGGCACTGGAATAGTCCGTGCCCTTGTGGGGCATTACTTATTACGTTATCAACACCCGGGAAGAAATAGTTGGAACATAGTGTCAAGCTATTTCTTTCAATGGTAAGGGAAGTTGTTGTTGTTTTACATCAGGAAGAAATATTTAGAACTATTTAGCTGGTTTGGGGGGGAGGGGGTATTTCCAGTAGGAAGACATATTTTGAACATAGGAACATATGCTCCAGCTATTTAGCTGCTTGGGGGGGGGGGTGTCCCAAGTATTTTGTACACAGCTCTCTTTCTTTTTGGTTCCAACGTGTAAACACAACTTGATTCAAGACACGAACTTTGGTTCCAACGTGTAAACACAACTTGATTCAAGACACGAACCTTGGCGATGGAGACATCAAGATGATCGGCCTGTGGTCAGCGCGCCACATCAGATAGAGGAAGGTTTGGTCAACATCAGGTGCTTGCTCTGTGGACCATAGAGGAAGGTTTGGTCAACATCAGATGCTTGCTCTGTGGACCATAGAGGAAGGTTTGGTCAACATCAGGTGCTTGCTCTGTGGACCATAGAGGAAGGTTTGGTCAACATCAGATGCTTGCTCTGTGGGCCATAGAGGAAGGTTTGGTCAACATCAGATGCTTGCTTTGTGGACTATAGAGGAAGGTTTGGTCAACATCAGATGCTTGCTCTGTGGACCATAGAGGAAGGTTTGGTCAGCTATTGCCATCAGCTGGGACAGTGTTCTAATGACCTAACAGAGGGGACGTTTACTCCAAACCTAGTAAACAAATGTGTAGCTAAGTTCTTATTGAATGAGGTGCCACACGAAATGCTCCTCCGTCCCAGCGATTACACAATAGAGAAACAATGAACAGACATTTGTAGTAACCATCAACTCCCCCCTCCCCCACATACACACACTTTTTTTTTCATTTAGTTTTAATTATTTTTTTTTCTGAAGCCGTGCATGTGCTCTATACACCATCAACACAATATTTTAAAAAATGAGACTCGTATCCGGAATTTTGATCGAAAGAAATTTCGTCGACGGTAAATTGATCGACGGTAATTTGATCGAACGAAATTTTGGTCGAATCATTTTTCAGCTTTTAAATTAAAATTTTGCTTCCAATTTCTTTTTGAACGCATTATTTGTTTTACCAATATAGTAGAGTGCGTTAAAAAAAAATTGGAAGAAAATTTTAACATTTGAAGTGAAAAAAAAAAGAGTTCGACCAAATTTCCCTTCGATCAAATTTCCGTCGATCAATTTACCGTCGACGATATGTCTTTCGATCAAATTTCCGGTAACCAATGAGACTAGCACGTGTGTTGTAAAGTTGGTGAAAAGTCGGACACACGTGAAATTGCCTTCTTACCGTAACTGTGTGTGTGTGTGTGTTACTGCAATGACCATCGTCTGCTAAGGCCACGGTCCTAAATCACGTGACGTCCATGCTCTGTTCTATTTATAGCAGCGTGGGTGGCCAACACGGATTCCACGCCCCGCTGGTTCAGTAGGGCTCTAATAAAAGATGGCCGGCCCCCTTTTTATGTTGATGGGGCTGTAACCAGGGAATGGCGCTCTTTGTAATTGGTATTTTATATAGCTTGTCTCTCTGTGTGTGGGTGTGTGTGGGGGGCGGGCGGGGGGGGGGGGGGGAAGGAAGACATGTTACCAGTCTGTGTTTGTGTAAGTTGATATTCAGTTTGTGTATGGGTAGAGGACATATTGTCTGTGTATGTGAGGAGGAGAGATTGTCAGGCGGTGCGTGTGTGTGGGGGGTGTCAAATTGCCAGTCTGAGTGGGGGGGGGTCAAATTGCTAGTCTGAGTGTGGGGGTGGGGGG